ATAATTATTATTATTATTATTATTATTAGGCTTAGAGGGTAGTTTTGTCATTAGTTAATCTAATGCATGCATTAAAACCATTGCATTGCTAATACCTAGAAATCCATGGTATTAGCAATACACACCTTAATACACAATAGAGTGTAGTTATACATAGGTTCGAAAAGAGTACCAAACAAGGTACTAGTAATACACAATGCTAATGCATGCGTTATTTTTCCTAATACACTCTACCAAACGACCTCAAGGACTTATTGTTCTAGAGATAAAATTATTTTTTAATATGATGAAATTAGAACATATTTCTTTTAAAAATGCTTTTCCTCTTACTAAACACACCCTAAGAGCCCATTTGACTACTTAGCCCCCATTTAAATATCAAGTGTTTAAACAATAATAAGTAATCGATAAATATTAGGTGGAAAAAAATGTTAATATTTCTTTTTCTGTTAATATAATCGAGATCATGCCCTTTAACGACTATTATAAATTTAAAACTTCTTTTTACATTAAAAAGTATGAATGATGAAAATAGAATACAAAGCAAGTCGTGAGTTTTTTATTGTTATTTTAATGCAGGTAATAAGCAATGATAGGTTCAGGACTCCGGTTCATCGGGTGGTTACACACCCAAAAGAGGTTCGAACCACAATTGGTGTATTTCTCGGTCCGTCGCCCGAGTTTTTAGTAAAACCGGCTACTGCTTTGATTCACACTGCACCAATGTTTAGAGCCTTTGCTTATCCAGAATTCCTTGAAGTATTTGTTGGTCTGGCTAAATTTGATGCTCAACTTGCCCTCAACCATTTTAGGAGCAAATCTTAGCTTTTAATTATTTGAAGAAAAAAAAAAAGATTGTTGTAAAATATAATATGGTGTGTGGTACTATATATGGTCATATAATTGGAGAAATTTGTCAAAAGAATATGATGATGTATGGTTTGTTTTTGTATCTAAGAGAAGAGCTCCCCTTTATGTTGTATCTAGTCTTGGCTCATGTAATAATTTGTGATATACTATATAATAAAACACAAAGGATGTGTTCGGTAAGGAGGAAAATACTTTTGTTAATTTTTCATGTTCAATTGGTTAAAATATTCAAAAAACATTTTCTCTAGAAAAAAACTCCTTAAAAATGAGGAAAATGATTTTCCTAGCGAAAGTAGATAAACAAGTCCCACTAGTAACTAAATGAGCTCTTCTACCTAATAAGGATTAGTCTTGAGGGGTGCATCTTTTTTTTTAAAAAAATACTCACAATTCATAAACGTATTTGTTGACTTGGTCTCAACTGATATCTACACCCTCCAAGTTTGGATGTACGACACTTGTATAAATTTGAACAATTCTACACATGCTTCTTATGCGACATTTTTTTTTTTTTTTGTATATTATCAAAATCAATATCCTTTTTTTTTTGTGTGTATAATCCAAGCATTGCATTGCCCACTTAGATTTCTCTGTCCCACTAGGATCTCTTGAACTAAGCCCAAAATAATGGGCTAGATTTTAATGGTTTGACCATGGGATACATGATTGATTTGAGGATCGCTATTTAAGCCACATTCGAAGTATATAATTTTTTATAAGTTTATCCGCCTTAGAATTAATTTCAGAATTATCAAACTGAAGTTGAAAAAACTCACATCTAGAATTACAAACTTTATATACATATATAAATTTGACGTTAGACTTGTAAAATCTAATTTCAGACAAAATATCATAAGTAACAAACTTTAAACATATGTGACTTAAGTTTACCTGAATCCAAACTTCATACATTTATGTTTGAACTTTATACATACGAGACTGAAAACATATGTGATTGAAGTTGAAGAAGGAGGATGAGCATCAACCTCTTTTGTTTGAAGATTTTTAAATACCGCTATAACTTATATAGTTTGGGAAAACGGGATATAACTTAAAAATAACAAGGTGTAAATTAAATTGACTATCAATTTAATTTTCTTTCATTGAATTGATAATATGTTCAAATTGTAGTTCATCGAGTTTACTTTTCAATGATTTAAACTATTCGTCATTTGGACATTCTTACAAAACGTCACAAGTAAAATTTTTATCACTTGAATTACTTCATCCTATGGCTATTCATTTACTCTCCTTCTTTATTTAGGAAAATGACTTCCTAAATTAAAATAGGAAAAATAAGCTTCATACGTGATATTTCAAGTTTAATGTTTCTTTCATACTCACGATCTAGCACCCCTTGCCCTTGACCATCCTACCATTAAAAAAACGACTTTCGAGAGTCACTTAGGCCTAGGTAAATTGAATTTTTCTTTTATTATAACTCAAGGGAATCTATAAGTAAGATGCTCTTTAACAATGGTTTTGTCCTCACATATTGAAAATGAAATCTCATTTTTTGTATTTATAGAACCATCCCTTAATTAAAAATGGCAAAATCATTTATTTGCTTACATAGTACTATCTCTTAATTAAAAACAACAAAATCCATTTGCTTGTATATATTACTATTATTAATGTTTGAAAAAATAAATATATATTTAATTTAGTCATTGTTTATTTATATTTAATATTTTTAATCATTTTTTGAGTATTGATTGTATTGGTCCCCCATTTGAAGACAAAGAAAAAGGGAAAGAAGACAAGTAAAGAGAGCAACGCAAATCTGATTTTTTTCAACTTTTTTTTTTTAATTCAGTTATTTTGGTTGGGATTTTCCTAATCTATAAGTAGTTTATAAATATATTTTGGAAGATATATTTTTATGTAGAGAAAGAGCTAAGAGTTGACGTGAAGACCAGAGATTATTGAGTTTTATTTTTTCTTCTTCATATTATTTGTTTTCATGTTTTTTTTTTTGGATGACTTGTATTTTTTTCATGTCTATCTAGAGTTAAACTTCTTATTCTAGACGTATCGTATTATATCACTTGATTGCTATACATGAGATGTAAATTCACTTTCGTTAATTCTATTATGCTAGACATAGATAATTAGGTTAATATGAATAAACGCATAACTATTCGATTGTAAATTGCAAGTAAAATTAATCAGGTCAATCAATTAGTTAAATTAATTGAAGAACCACTACAAGAAAAGTGTGAATTACATGTGGATTTTTTTGGGGATTAGTATGAAAATTTGCAGGAAAAATAAGTTTCCTACTGATTTTCATACTAATCCCTAGGAAAATCCTCATGTAATTCACACTTTTCTTGTAGTGTAACATAATATGATTATTAGATAGTTCATAATCCTAGATCGATTCATCTCATCGACAACATAAAGGTATATTTTTTTCTTGATTAGAATTCATAAGTTATTTTCTTTTATATAAATTTAGATTTTATTTCTTATTTAATAATTCAATTTTATTTTTAATTTAATAAACCGTTAATCATACGTTTTGTCTGGCTTGATATCTGACAATGGCCTTGACCTCACATATTAAAAATCAAATCTCTTTTTTTTTAAAATAAAATATATATAGTACTATCCCTTAATTAAAAACAACAAAATTATTTGTGTGTATATATTATCATTATTATTATTTTACTTAAGAAAAAATGTATGTATTTAATCATTATGTACTATATATTTTAGTGCTTTGAATTATCTTTTTGAATATTTGATTGTATTACGTATGCTTAATATTTTATTTTATTTTTAATGTATAATTATAAAGGATAAAGAGAGATTTTGGTCCCCCCATTTGATGACAAAGGAATAGGCAAGAGGACAATTGAAGAGAGCAAATATATTGGAACTGTCGTCCCCTTTGATTTAATCGAACTCCAATATAGATATCGAATATTGAATTGACAAGTAGAATTGATGAATATATAGTATAATATTCCTCAATGAAATCTCTCTTTTTTGTTATTTATACAAGATCATTGTCTATGTACAAATAAATGAAACACACAACAAAATCCAAGAAAAATAATGGAAATCTTGATTTCAAATTGGTCAAATGTTGAATTTGTACCTAAAAAATATATTTTTCCACTAGAAAGAAGACCAGGAAAAATTGAATTTCCTGTTTGCCATGATATACCACTCATAGATTTGGCAAATAATCATCCAACTGATACAATTCAACAAGTTATTAAAGCATGTCAAGAATTTGGAATATTTCAGGTACAATTAATAGTTAAGAATATTGTTTTGTAATACGGAGAATTTTTTTTAAAATTACTGTGTTAGTAATTGAGTTGTTGTCAAATCTAGAGTTTTAAGATTGCTTTGATAATCTCATTTCAGAATTGATAAAATGTGTACACAAAATATAACAAGAAGAAATGAACTTTTTTTTCGAGTTTGAACTATGAAAAACACGTTTGGTTTTATTGCTCCGTGTGACTTATATTACTATATAAGTAGAGTAGTAGTGTAGTATATATATTCAATATTTTTACTTTGCTAATTATCTACATTATAGGACATATAACAACATATTCAGTATAGTTCTACACAAGTAAGGTATATGATGTATACAAACTTTACATCTACCTTTACGTGGTATTAGAGAGATTGTTTCTGATATACCCTTGACTCAAGAAAGTCATTTGTCATAAATACATATTTAGTAAATATCTAACGAAACAATATTCCGTGACACCTTTTGGGGCAAGGTAAATCCACCTTTTGTGATAAAAAGTCCAACTTTGGGAGATAAAGCGCTTCTTACAAAAAAAAATTACTTCTGAAGTTTCTAATTAAGGATGGACGAGTACTTATATTATGTTTTTCTTTTACATATTATGATGATCAGGTGATAAACCATGGAGTGTGTGAAAATCTAATGGATGATACAATGAATATATACAAGGAGTTCTTCAAATTACCTGGTGAATACAAGGCAAAATTTTACTCAAATGATATAAACAAAAGCTGCAGGTTATGTTCAAGCACATTAGCATATGATACTGAAGAATTTCACTATTGGAGAGATAATTTTACTCATCATTGCTATCCTTTAGAGGAATACATTATGACTTGGCCAAATAAGCCCACCAAGTATAGGTAATATATATTCGTTTCAGTTTACGTGATACATTTTCTTTATTAGACGTTTTTAAAAGAACAACACACTTTTGAATTTGAAAACGATTAACTTTACTTTTCTATTTGATTATTAACGAGAAACTTTTATAACCATTGTATGACATGACATATTTGAAAAGCCAACTGAAATGTTATGACATGTTTTAGACCACAATTTTTCAGAAGTCTTAGTTTCTTTTTCTAATCAACTAACTATTAGATGAGATGAATTGAACAGGTCAAAATGGGCAGAGTTAATAATTAAATAGGCGGGTTATTAACTCGTTCAATCATGACCCATGCACAATCATATTTTCATAACCTAATTTTACCATCTCTCGTTTTCTAAATCCAATCAAACTAAGACACGTAAATTATGTTTGTTTTCTTTTTGTAGAGAAGTGGTAAGTGAGTATTCAATAGAAACAAGGAAGCTACTTTACAAGATTTTGGATATGATATGCAAAGGATTAGGACTAGAGAAAGGTTATTTTGAAGGTGAAGTAAGTAAAACAAATGTGATATCTGTGAATCATCATATTCCATGTCCAAATCCAAGTTTGACACTAGGAATGCCAGTACATTCTGATCCAAATCTCATAACATTGCTTCAACAATGTGATGTTCCTGGACTTCAAATACTTAAGGATGGCAAATGGATTGGTGTTCAACTTATTCCTCATGCTATAGTTGTTATTCCTGGTCTACAATTGAAGGTACTTCTTAGTGTTGTATAATATTAAAGGTTCATTACTAAAAAATTACTATTGAAAAGTGTTCAGTGGCTATTTTCATAGATATTCTGATTGAATCGGTAAGGAGAAAAAATAAAAAAAGTAATGATTTCATACGAAAAAAATTAGGAAGCTTTCCTCCAATCCATTCATTTTTTCAGTCAGTTGGCTTAATGTGAAATGACTGGAAAAATCATGTTTTATAACACAAATTTTCCATTCTTTTTTTTTGAAGCAGTCAATTTTCCTCATAACATATGGTAATTCTTTGCAGGTAATAACCAATGACAGGTTCATAACTCCGGTTCATCGTGTGGTGACGCACGCAAAAGAGGTTCGAACCACAATCGGTGTATTTCTCGGTCCATCACCCAAGTCTTTAATAAAACCAGCCACTCCTTTGGTTCGCACTGAACCGGAGTTTAGAGCCTTTACTTATCCAGAGTTCCTTAAAACATTTACTGCTGGGGCTAAATGTGATGCCCAATTTGCCCTCAATCATTTTAGAAACAAAGCTTAGCTTTTAATTATGTGAAGGGAAAAAAAAGATTGTTGTAAAAAATATATGGTGGGTGGTACTATATATGGTCACATAATTGGAGAAATTTGTAAAAAAAAAAAAACCATGTTATATTTGGTTTGTTTGTTTATGTACCTTATGTTACCTTGTCAATTGTTGCAAAATGGTATCTATAGTCTTGGCTCATGTAAAACCTTGTGATGTACTATATAATAAAACACTTTGGCTGAGTTTGATAAGGAGTAATTTTTCCATGTTCGATTAATTTAAAAAAATAAAAAAATTGTCCATTTTAGTTGAATTATGGATAGTGTTTAAAACATGAGCAGATTCAGCATATTGTGTGCAGGTTCTCAAGAACTCAGTAATTTTTGTTTAAACTTTACATACATATTGAAATATTCACTAAATATTATAAATATTTGATTGTAAATTTAATTACGTATCATATTTATAGGAACTCTAAATTTTAAATGATCATGAATCTGACTTGGATTTAAAGAAACCATGTGACAACTATACATAGACTTCACATGGGATAAAGATCCGGTCAAGTATAATTAGGTCAAGTACAATATAATAATTTATGGTTGAGATCCATTTAAATTATATATTTATCTTAATAATAAAAACAACAAAGTTGTCAGCTATTTTTATTTTTTAAAACTATTAAATAAAGCAATTAAGTGTATAAGTTTAGTGATTAGAATAACGTATTAAAATTATTATTATTATTCTGAATGTATAAGTTTAGTGATTAAAATAATGTATTAAAATTCATGTTAGTTGTAATCTAATTATATACATTTTAGTCGAAAGAATTGGAAGTTATGTCCCCCACAGAAAAGATGGTGAAATTCTTTTTTTTTTTTGGGTTTCCACCCGGTGTCCGGAGCCCACATTGGAGTTCCGACTAAATCTGGATCGCGTTCTGCAGGGCCCATTCGGGGGTGACGCTTCCAATAGAATTTTCTCCATACCCAGGGTTCGAACCTGAGACCTCTGGTTAAGGGTGAAACACTCCCACCAGTGCACCATAACCCATGTTGATAAAGATGATGAAATTCTACTAGAGTGTTTTGTGGATCCATGGGTAATTCACCATCCCGAAGGACATACCATACCTAAACTAGGTGAGTATTTTTTTTTTTAGTTTAGAATATGAATTTAATTCTTACTTAAACTAAAATTTTAAAAAATAAAATAAAATAGAACTAAAACATTTTATCTTTGCAGATGGTAGCAACCTTGAAATAATGCTTGGGTTTATTGAAAAAGTTCAACAACTTTGATCCTGGAAGGAGAATACTCTATTAATATAAATTATTTTCAAATATTTTTATTTTATTGAGACTTTTTTCTTTGTTGATTAAGGGCATATTGTGGTGGAATTGTTCTAAACACTATAGTTAATTATGTATAAGTAGAGATTTTATGTTTGAACTTTAAAAGTTGAGAATGTCTCGATAATAAATGGCTTATTATCCTATAATAGGTATATTGATGTGTAGACATCAAAATTTTGTTGTAAGACGTTTTCGATTCCAGTTAGGGTTTTTGAAGGTTATTTTGTTCTATATCCTGGCTCACACGCCAATATAAAAAATAATATATTCCTTTGAAATGCATCTCGAATTGTATGGATTTTGTTAAATTGTCTCATTTTGAATTGTTCAGTAGTAAAATTGATCATTTTTCTTTTGTTTTGGAGCAATCAAAAGTAACCATGCTATAACAAAATCAACTTTTAGCGGTAATAAATATACACATAAATATATATAGAATGATAAAAGATTCTCTGGCATTAGTTAATTGTCATTAAATTCAATATCGTAGTGCCAATTGCCGCTAAACATACATAGTTAAAGGTAATTAAGCTATAATCATTAATTAATTACCGCTAAAGATAATTTTTACTATAATGCCAATTTATTTTTGAACTATTTCACTAGTTTTTTTTCTCTCTCAATAACTCAAACTCATAACCTTAAAATTAAAGGCGGAGGATATTTACCTCCTAAGCAACTCTGTCTAATCCTTTTGAGTGATATTTTTGCACTAGTTAAATAACAATAATGACCATTTTGAATATAAAACACAACAAAAGATAAAATTAACAAATTTTAAGATATTTTATTTAACACTATGGTCAATTTAGTCTGAATAACAGAGACCACGTGACAATTCAGCCAATATGTCCATAAATTTTTAATTTGAATTTAAAAATTTAAGTGGACGTTTGATTATGCATATTTTATTGTAAAAGTTGAAGAAAAATAATAATTTTATTTCTAGATTGAAAAATAATATTTGAATATTGGAGTTGTGTTTAGCCACATATACAAATTGTAATTGTTTTTGACTTTCTATGAAATAACTCAGAGTTTTTGTTATTTTTAAAATTCTTGAAAATTCTGAAATGAAATTCAATCTCAGGTTGAATTTCAAAATTTTATGATCAATTGTGTTTTTTCTTTTAAAATTAAACTCTGGAGTAAAAGTGAAAAAATTTCATGATCAAGAAATTTTTGAATTATGAGTTATATAATTTGACACTATGTTCGAACATGTATTTTACTTTAAAAAAAAACAATTTTAAAAGATAGATTTTTAAAGAATCTTAGGCATATATGCTTATGTACCTACCATTTTTTGAGAAGAAATTAAAAAAGAAATAGTATGGAAAAAGAATCGAAGAGAAAACCAAGAATTCTATGTCTCCATGGCTATAGAGAAAGTGCTGAAATACTCAAGAAATTGATTCTCCGGTGGCCGGAATCCGTCACCGGAAAATTAGATTTGGTTTTCTTGGATGCACCTTTTCCGGCTAAGGGCAAATCTCGACTTGAAGGTTTCTTTGATCCTCCTTACTTTGAATGGTTTCGATTTAATAAGGTATTTATACTTGCTTCATTTAATTTCAACGATTCGATCTATTCGAAGAAAAACACTCCCTGACATGAGATTTTTCTCGTTACGAGGGCTTAAATGAGATATTTAATGAAGGATCGATAAAATGATCTTATTTATCTTATCGTACTATTTTATTGTTCATTTCATCCTTGATTATTCACTACTATTTATAATCATATTTGTTCAATTTTTTCGTGAGAGTCAAAATGACCAATGTAGAATAAATCAAGATCCAAATTTTGGTGTGTTTGATATGAAAGAAAATATTCTCTATTAAAAATATTTTTTCTGAAATTTATTTTTTATATTTTTATTGGGATAGTCATTCTATTGTTCAATCTTATCTAGTGTTTGATATTTGTATTAAGATCCAAATAAATTTGAATCCGCGTAAGAAATTTTACATTAAAATGTAAAAGCACACTAATAAAGATAACTCTGTATCCAAACAAGACTCGAATACAAAACTCTTAATTAAAGATGAATAAGTACTTATCATACTACCAAAATTATTGTTGATACTGGAAAAACATGTTTTTTATTTCTAGAGAAAATATTTTTTTTCTATAAATTGTGTACTTTCTTGTAGGATTTCACAGAGTTTTATAATTTTGAAGAATGCCTTGAATATATAGAAGATTTTATGTCAAAGCATGGACCTTTTGATGGTATTCTTGGTTTCTCAATGGTAAAATATTTTTAATGTTATAAGTACTATTTTCTTTTCTCTCGCGATAACGAGAAAATAATCTCTTATGATCAATTATAATTATAATAAAAGAAAATGATTTTATAAAAGTAATTCTATTTTATTTTGTTGGAAATAGGCAGCTATTTTATGTGCAGCAATACCAGGAATGCAAAGGGAAGGAGTGGCTCTAAAAAAAGTTCCAAAAATAAAATTTGTGATACTAATATCAGGGGCTAAATTTGGAGGGCCCTCATTTGGGGTACCAAAATTGGCTATCAATGCATTTTCATCTCCAATCAATTGTCCATCACTTCACTTCTTAGGTACTTTCATATTATCTCTCTTTTTAATTATTTTTTAAAATGTGTTTCTGTACGCGCGACTCGAAATATACTCTTTATGTTCCTAATTACTTGTCTATTTTTGAATTGACACATCTATTAAGAAAACAATGATTGAAATAACGAGTTTACCAGTTTACCCCTAGTAATTATGAAGTTGATGAATTAAAATTTAAAATTTTCAAGAAGTTTTACCCTTTTCAAAGTAATTAATTAAGGATATAATAGGTAAATTTTTTTTGTCATTCTTTGATTTGTCAGATTGGACAAGTAAAAAAGAAAAATTGGACAAGTAATAAGGGACAAAGGGAGTAGTTCTGATCATTTTTTTTTATTTTTTTATATAATTATGTTTTTAATTTATTTCAAGCTTTCTACTATTTATTATTGAACATTTCAATTATCCAATTAAATTGGTGTTAAATGATTATTTTTCATTCTTAAGGAGAAAAGGATTACCAAAAAAAAGATGGAGAAGTTCTATTAGAGTGTTTTGTGGATCCACAAGTGATTTACCATCCTAAAGGACATGCCATACCAGAACTAGGTGAGTAATTTGTTTTGAAATTTTAATGGTATATTTCTTGGTTTAGAATATGAATGTAATTCTTACTTAAATCAATATTTACAATTTTTTTTTTAAAAAAAAAAATCAACCAAAACATCATTTTTGAAATAACTCCACTTGTTAGGTGTATGATTAGAGTTCTAGTTACAGATTTGACAGGATAGGATTAGAGTTATGGTTACACGTTTGGCATAATTTAATAACTTAGACTTCAATTTTATATTTTTTGTTAATTTTTTTTTACTTAAAATAGGTAAATAATGTATTCAAACTGAATAATTGATTATTTTTTTAAAAACTTCTAACCTCAAAGCTCAAAATTTTGAATCCGCCTATCTACTTGAAGTCCTGGTCATTGACTTTTAGCATGATTTTTTTCTATTGTCATAAAGTTGAAAAAATTATTTGAAAGTTGAAATTTTGAGTTTTCATATAATTTCACATGAAAAAAAAGTTAGAAAATTTATAAATGAAAATTATTATCTTAACATCTTAATTAGTATTCATATATGCATTAATAAAGATTCATAAGTCTTAGTTTTAATGAAAATAAAGAAGGCTTTAAGCCTTTAACTATGTCTTTATTTTATTTTTTTGCAGATGATAGCAGCGCTGAAATAATGCTTGGATTTATTGAAAAGACATTCCCAAATTTTGTAACAGGGGCGGATCAATATAATTGGAAGCCCAAAGCGAAACTTTAAGCTAAAAAAATTGTGAATGTATATATATTTAACTTTTAATCAAATTTCCTAACTTTTGTTTTTTACTGATCGTAATATTCACATCTGTTAGCTTGTACCTTAACTAATTTCGTGAGATATTTATAGCATTGATGGCAGCAGCACTATTTTGTTCTCCGCGATCGCAGGCCCTTGGCTAAGTTCGCAAATCACCTTAGGTTTTTGTCTATGATGAGATTTGAACACGAGACGTTATGCTACTAAACCCACTTCTTTGACCATTAGATCACACCCTTATAACTTTATCTATCAAAACTAAGACAAAACCAGAATAAATCACCTAGTTATTTTTTTTATATCTGCTCAAATTTAAACCTAAAACTTTGTGATTTTCACTGATTCATTAATCATTAAGCCGCAATCACACATTTTCCCCCTTTAAATATCAACAAATTCATATCCAAATACTAATAATTTCATTTGTATGTTTCTGAAAATAAAATAAAATAAAATAAAATAAAATAAATAAATACACAACCAACAACATTATAAAATGGTCAATTATGGCTGAATCATGGAGACAACGTGACAAACTCTTAGCCACAAATAAATAAATATATATATATATATATATATATGGTGCTTAGTGGGTCTTACATTTTTATATAAGAAAAATTAATATTATGGAGAAAGAAATAGAGAAAAAAAAATTAAGAATTCTGTGTCTTCATGGCTTTAGAGGAAGTGCTGATATCCTCAAGAAATTGATTTTCCGATGGCCGGAATCCGTCACCGGAAAATTGGATTTGGTGTTTTTGGATGGACCTTTTCCAGCTCAGGGGAAATCTCCACTTGAAGGTTTTTTTGATCCTCCTTATTTTGAATGGTTTCAATCAAATAAGGTATTTACTCTTATTTCTCCTCATATTTTAGTGAACTGACCAAAATGGTAGCAAATGGGCGAGTTGGGTAGCTCATAGGATTAGAACACGTAGCTACGAACCATAGTATCAGGGAATTGAATGCCTCATATTTCACAATTCATCGTAATATTCTACAAGTTATGTGTCGTTCTGTTCTATTAAAGAACTTATGTCATGTGAAGTATAAGTTGTATTGCTAAAGAAAAAAAATTGTGGACAAGTGCAAAAATTAAAGATCCCTTTTATTTAAAGGGTAAAACTGTAATTTTTTCTTTTCCTCGATTGAATCAATAAATGAGTTATTATTTGATTTTTGTCCAAAGTATACATGGTTACATGTGATTGAATCAAAATGGACTAAATAATAAGTAATAATTCAATTGGCACAACTTTGACTCATCATTTTTCTTAGACATCAAGACCAAAAATTTACATTTTGATGAATCAAGATTGGATTTTATTTGGACTGCTAATTTTTATGAGTTTTTGTAAATGGTAAATTTTAGTGTATTTTTCTTGTAGGATTTCACAGAGTTTTACAATTTTGAAGAATGCCTAAAGTATATAGAAGATTTTATGTTAAAGAATGGACCTTTTGATGGTGTTCTTGGTTTCTCACAGGTAAGTTTTACTAATAAGTTCCATTTTCTTTTGTTTTTCTTTTCTATCGCGGTAAACGAGAAAAAATAATCTCTTACGATCAGTTATAGTTTGAATATGAGAAAACGATCTCACAAATATTACTTGTGTTATTTCTAGTCAGCAAGCCTACCTACAAAACCAGCTTGTTCAAGGCTATCTTATACCTATGTTGCTCGGTTCTCAAAAAATGTTGTCACATCTATGTCAGATCCTCAAGAAATGCACGTTTTGGAGTATCCGACATACATTACTTTTTAGGGAGTCAGAGCAACATAGTCCTATACTAAGAAGAAGAAGAAACTAGCTAGGATATTAGAAATTCATTTGCTCCAAAGTTTTTATCATGAAAAAGCCTCTCTACAACACAAAGATAGTCTGCGTACATTCTATTCTCCCCAGACTCCACTTGTGGGATTACACTGCGTATGTTGTTGTTGTTCTTTGTTATCTGCCTCTTCGTATTGCCTCTACGGAGGACTTCTTGAATGAATTGTCTTGTTAAAGTTGTGGCATCTCTCTTGTAATAAATTATTGAAGATGCATATGTTCCTTTCTTTCCATATGTAATACACTGCTCCTGAAGGTGCAAGACGGGGGTGAATTGCTCTTTTTTCGTTTTTCTTCTCAAAGTAGTCGACTTGTGAGAATCATTAGTTGACTGTTAGATCACGAAATAAATACTGAAAGTGAAAGTGCAGAAAATAAGATTGACATCAGATGTTTTTATACTGGTTGGGATCCAATGTGGATCTTACGTCCAGTCCCCTTAGGTTGCAAGTGTGCTATATACTGTGCACTATGTCTTCAATTAATCGAAGGTTCAATATGCTTAGTCAGATATTACAACCGATCTTCCTTTTCCTTAACTGTCCTCTAACATTTTATCTGTGTTTTTTTTTTCTTTTTGTGTGTGTGTGTGTGGTGGAAATAGGGAGCTGTTTTAGGTGCAGCAATTCCAGGCATGCAAAGGGATGGAGTGGCTCTAACAAAAGTTCCAAAAGTAAAGTTTGTGATAATAATATCAGGGGCTAAATTTGGAGGGTCAACTTATGGGATACCAAAATTGGCTACAAATGCATTTTCATCTCCTATCAATTCTCCATCCCTTCACTTCTTAGGTACTTTTATTACATTACTATTTCTTTTATGCAGTTATTGATGCAGCGGTAAGTACTCATTCATCCTTAACTAGAGATAAATAAATAATTCAGAACCTAATAAGGGGTCTTTTTTATGAAATTTCGACTCTCTAACGTGAGTCATCTGTATTTAATCGAGCCTCAATATTAGTACTGGACACGAAAATAACTTTATCATGGCTCTAAGCTCCCCTTCTCCAATACAATTAGTATAAATGTATTTATCTTTGTTTTTGAAGGGGAGGCAGATTTCCAGAGAAAAGATGGTGAAATTCTGCTAGAGTGTTTTGTGGATCCACAAGTGATTCACCATTCTAAAGGACATACCATACCTAAACTAGGTGAGTAATTTATTTATTTTTTGAATTTTATGGTCGAGTTTTTGTTTAGCATATAAATGTTATTCTTATTTAACCAATATTTATAATATATATATATCAACTAAAACATATTTTTGAAGTAACTCCTTGAGTCAAAAGTGGAGTTAGAGTTCTGATTACAAATTCATGAGCATAATTTAGTAGCTTAAACTTAAACTCTGGATTTCTGTTAATAAATCCAGTTAAAGTGTATAAATAAATAATTCAGAACCTAGTAAGGGGTCTTTTTATGAAAATTCGAATCTATAAAGTCAAAATTCTGAATCGACCTGTATGGAGAAGGACTCATTAACTTTCAACAAGGATTTTATTGTCATTAATTCAAAAAAAAATGAATTTGAAAATTGAAGTATGAGTTTTCATATAATTTCATAAGAAAAAAAATGTTTAATTTTTAAAAGAATAATTGAGTGGAACTTTTTTTTTTTTGAAGCAATGAAAAAGCTAGGTTAAGAATAACTGATTGAGTGGAACTAGAATTGATTATTATACCTTTATTTTATTTTTGCAGATGATAGCAACGTTGAAATAATGCTTGGATTTATTGAAAAAAATTCAACAACTTTTAAACAGGGCACGAGTTTATCGACAGTATGAATTATGCTCAAACATTATTTTGTTTTCTAATGTTTCTTTTGTTGATTATATTTCTTTTGTTATTGCTTAATGTATTCATACTTGTAATATTTTCTCCGTCTCAAAATACTTGTTACATTTAATTAGGATCATCAGTTAATTATTTTATCGTTATTTATGTCTTGATACATAATCTCTTCTTTATTAAATATTTACTCAATTTATGTGTCATAATTAAAATATTTGTAGTGTTCAAGAATAATTACGAGTGTGATTGGGTTGGATTAAATGGGGGGAACGAATAATGTAATTGAAATCCGATATTGAAAGTCAATCTGGGGGATTCCGTCTATTTGAGGGGGTATTTTTGCATATTTTGATTACAAAGGGGAAAATTTGGAGACAAATTTAATAAATAGACAAAAGTAGAAAGACATTTTGAACCCTTTCCATTTTAATTTTATCTTGTATTTCAAAAAGAACAAATAATGCTCTCAATTTTCCAATGATTCGTCTTTATACAATACGACAAATATATAAATAGTTTCTGACACTATCGTGATTTTTCACTTTGATATCTTCACCAAAATAATTATTTACAAGAAACAGAAAATGCATGCATTGAACCCTTTATTATTAGTAGCAAACAAAATAAAAATTAATCATACTCTTCTTTCTTAAAAACCTTATTCTTCCTTCGTATGATTTTCTTCGATAGAATGTATTCTGCCTTGCTTTGTCCTATCCTATCCGGGCCAACTTCGTTTATATCTTGTTTCATTATTTTTTTCTCAGGTATTTACTTCCTTTTCTTCTCTGTTAATAAATGTTATTTTTTTCGTTCATTTTTGTCTGTTAAATAAATTAAAAATATATATTTTTAGTTTTACTCGTCATTTATAGATTATTAAGAGAAAAACATAATTTTTAAAATATTTTATTCTTAATATTAATTATTTATAGACCTAAGACTATATATTAATTAAATGAATATTATAGTAAAATATTTATATTTATTTTATTTTATTTTAAAGATACAAAATTCAAAATCAACAAGTAAAAGTGAACGAAGATATTACTATTGTTTCCTTCAATGTTATCAAAACTTCTGTTCACAAAATTCACCACATTTCTAGCAAAATTAATTTTGCCCGGTCTTGCTCCGTCTCGTTTAAGTTTTTTTCTAATTGTAATTTTTATATGTGTTGTGATATTCGTAGTTGTAATTCTTAATTTTTGAGGAAAGGGTTTGTCCTTCATTACATATATAATTGTTTATGTTGTAATACATTAAAATAATTTTACTATTTCTAGTAGGAATAACCTTTTTCGTGCTAGCTAAACGTGAAATAATAACTTTTGTGCAACGTTAAAAGGGTGAAAAGGTTTTTGATAGAGTGGGATCGTTTGGAAATTTTTTATTTTAACGTATATCCTTCCTTTTGAATTAAAAGCACGCAAAGAAGATAATAATTATTATTATTATTATTTTTTGTCCTTTTTAGCCTTGGCAATAAAAAATGTGAAATTGTAGTGAAGATTAACAAAGCCACTAAGATTCTGATTTTGGCCTTCTATTCACTATTGATAGAAGTTGGGACGGAGTTAAGTGAATGCAAGTGGGTTCATTTGAATTTTTTCGTAAAAAAATTGAATTATGTATGCAAATAGTAAAATGTTAAATTTTCTTAGCTTTTTTTTAACGTATTTATTATTTTATACTTTAAATATTTTAAATAAAATTTCTGACTTTTCGACTGATAGAAGCGTAACACACAATACTAAAGGTACTCCTATACATATTTTCATTCTTTCATACAATAATATAATGCAAGAATTTATATATTATATGTGCTACTCCTATTATTTATAGGTTTCATTGGATGAGATCATTCCTCGATAATATTGTCTAATCTGCATTTATCTTAATAATATCGTTTGTATTTTTTTTAATATGCAGTTTATTCAAGGGTCCATTTATATTCAATGTGATACAAGCGTCCTCAAACTCATTTCTACAATGTTTTTGTTTAAATATCTCATGATAAATTGAGTCTTTTCTACAAATCAAAATATTGCGCAATAAATTGTATTTATTCTATTACTGTTAACATCTCATTATAAATAACTTTTTTCTACTATTTCATTTAGTAAAAATATTGATAAGTTCTTAAGTTTTCTTCTCCACAATTTTTATAAGCACTTATCATTTATTCGTCTTTTTTTTCTTTCTCTTTTAATACTTATGTGTTTGAGTCGAAGCAAGGTTTTGCAACTTTAAATCATATTTGGATTGATCATGATGCGATTCAATATAGATAACAGTTTAGTTTTTATTTTTCAGGTATGATGGTTAACTTAGGAGATAAATACTTTTATTATAGTAAATCTTTATCTTTAAAGTAAAGTATATCACTTAAATAACATCAAATTTGTAAGATTTTCTAACCTCAACTTATAAATGGTTACTTTATGTGTGTTTTGACTTTCATCCCTTTTTTATAGCATAGCCGAAGTTTAATAATATGTATGTATCATTTGTAATAAAAAGATTGTATTAAATATTTTAAGATAAATGCACAAACACACGTTTTTAGAAACTAGATTTAAAAAAAAATACAAATACATAAAAGAGAAAATTAGGCTTTTGACAAATCAGACGTCCGAATACGGACCCTCGTATAGTATCTTCCCGCGTTAAATCGCCGGTCTCTCTCTTTCTCTCTCCCGGCTTGATCGGAACCTAATCGGAAAATTCCACAACCGGCCAAAGGTTCCGACGCGCCTCCTTATCACAGTAGAGAGTAATTCGCATTGTAGACACTTCTACATCTTTTTCTCTCGTCGGCGAAGATGACGAAACAGCCAAACGCCGGTGGCGGGGAAGAGAGCGCAGCGGCGGCGACGCCGGCGGAGCATAAGAGCAGCTCCGGTGTGAATACGGATCAAGGTCCGAAACCGGATCCGCAATGTGTGCAACAGGACTATACTATTACAATTGCCTCTGTAAATGAGAATCAAATTGGTAAAATCGAAAATGAAGGTATCAAATCGGCGAACGGTTTGAATAAATCGAAGAAATCGGTGCATTGGAGCCAGGAATTGGTGACGGAGTCGTCGGTGCAGAGAAAAACCGGTAACCGGGGATCGAATCCTTACTTAGCTCATTCTCCGGCTCCGGCCAACAATTCTGCTTCCGTCAATATCAAAAGTTAGTATCTTTTTCACACACTCTCTCTATATATATTTACACGTAAATGAATTATACATATTGAGAACAGGTCGAAGATTTAAATTTTATGAGTTCAATTTTTTAAGTTTTTTAAAGCAATGGGTTGATACCTACTATTTGTTGCTATCTTACTGAATTTTTATACATAAATTTATGTTGTGCGTTAAAAAGTAGATAGAGTTCAAATGAACTCCATGTCTATTTGTTGCATCATAAGCAAGGTTAAAATTATATATAGTACGTTGTATTGGCTTTGCCAACTTATTGGGTTGCGGGAGGAGAAAAGCGGACGTAGGGGCTCGGGTCGGGGAGCAGCGTAACTGAGAGAGTCATTCCATTTAGGGCGAGACAATATGAGCAGGCACGGGCGATCTAGTGTCCTAGCCGTTGGTCAGACGCATGGCAAATGGGCCATCGTCTTTACTACTATATCTATTCTTTGCATAGAATATTTGGATTATCAATCTTTTATGTATGTGCTACTTGATTTGAAATATGATAATCAAACTAATTAATGTTTGGTGTGAATTCAGATATAGAATTTTTAATTTTTTTAAAAAAAAATTACATATTTATAAACTACATAAAATGTACAATAAGTCACACTACTTAACAATTCAAAATATCTAGAACATATTTAAAAATATTATGATCAAAGAAAAAATCATTTGCCTGATAGTGACCAAGACAAACACATAATTGAAATGGTGGAGTAACTCTTTAGTTTAGACTTTAGACATCTTATAATATGGATAACAAAATTCAAAGACAATTTAATACTTGAGTACACTTCAGGTTAAGATATTAACATTCAAAAATCACATTTGTTTACTTAAACTCTGTATCCAATAAATTAGAACACATGCATTGAAACAATTAGAATACTGTTTAAAGGGAGTAAGTAGGCGTTCGGAGATGCAATATGAAATTGTTATATAAAATTATGAGATGAATTTAGTGTTTGGATATGCGATCTCGCGCTGATTTCATATCATAAGATAAAATTTCAAATTCTCGAAAAATCATGATTTGAGATTTTTCAAATACAAAAATTGACCCACAAGTTTATAATTTGTAAAAATAACTCTACATATATATCTACTAACCATTTATTGCATATGTAAATAAAAGTTATAATTCATATCATTACTTTTTAAATCGTTTATACCTCATATAATGATTATTCTCACTAACATAGTGTTAACAGAACTCAAGAAGCAAAAGAGGAAAGGTCCAAATTATAGTTAGAACACTGTTGGTCAGTTAGGAAAAGTTAATTAGTTAAAAGTTAGTTACATTCAAGAAACAATTAGAGGGATGAGTATGTGTATAAATACAAGACTAGAGTCTCAATGTAAAGTAATTTTTTGAAGAAATAATATACTACTCTGTTTCAATTCATCTTCTTCTTCTTTAAAAGTCATCTTCTATAAACCTTCATGGTATCAGAGCCATCGATCAAAGTCTGAGTAGATCAGGTGTGTGAGTTACAGATCTTGGATTTCTGAAGATCAGAGTCTCAAGTTGATTAAGCTTCCGCAATTACAAAGTGAAGATGGTTGATATGTCTCAAGAAATTAACAATGGTGGCCATGTTACTGATTTCAGTAATGGTGGAAATCCTGGGAACAATAATCCCACACCAGCTACGTCAATGAGTCAAGGAATGGATTACAATCATCCACTGTTCTTAAGCCCAGCTGACATTAGTGGAGTTAATCTCATTTCGTTTCAACTTGTTGGAATTGAAAACTATGTTGTTTGGAGTAGGTCTATTAGATTGGCTCTTCTTGGAAGGAACAAGATTGGGTTGGTGGATGGTTCATGTACAAAAGATGGTGTGTCTCCTGAACTAAGGAATCAATGGGAAAGAGTAAATGCTGTGGTTCTTTCATGGCTTCTCAATTCTGTTTCAAAAAGTCTGTTAGGAGGAG